TGACATGGAACGCTAATAAGAAATACGAATTGGAGGTTTGGCAACAGATACGAATTAATGGAACCATGATCATCATTGAACCTCATACGATCTCCTCCTCTCCCTCTCCCTCCACCGAAAACTTCATCACCACCACCTCAAAATCCACATTAGCTCGGCCCATCATCCCTCCAAGCTAATCACTGGCCCATTATTTTAAGAGAACCTGCCATTATTTTCTCCACCAAATTAGCTCCAAATTTAGGACCAGCCCCACCGCCTCCGCTAACCCGCCATCGGATGGAGTTGGGGCAGTTGGGGAAGGAGGGGTTTTATTATGCTCAAAATAAAACAGATGGAGTTGTAGGGGTGCCATTAGCTCTAATGATGACTAATTGCAATGGATTTATATTTCGAATGTTACAAAAGAGAGCTCTAAACGTGCTATAAAAGTAAAAATTAATTAATATATTGAGTATCTATTTCATTGCGTATCAAATAAATTTTGAGGGGTGCTAATTAATTCAAATTTTAGAGATCATATGTGGTGGGGGAGACCTTGGAATAGAAAGGGATTAGGATTAATTGAATTGGAAGGTCAAGAGGTGAAGTTGTGAGAGGCAGAATTTGGTGATCCTAATAAAAGTTCGCCTCATATGACGTCCATCCAACTTTGGTCATTTTTGACCTTGATAATTAATAGTAAAAGTCCTTTGAATGTGTGTTATACCTATAGCAATAGAATTAGATATAACGCATTGATGATGTGATATTATTATGAAAACGGCGAAGGAATTAAGGAAGGAATTGAGAAAAAAGTGAAGAATAAGCAAAATAGGCTCCACCACACCCTGGTGTGGTGTCTGCCATGGATGTGACAGAATCTGTCCTATCTGCCATGGGTATGGTGTCTGTCATACCATGGTGTGCCAAAATCTGCCCTGTTTATCATGGGTGTGGTGTGTGCCACACTAGGGTGTGGCATACTCGTTTTTAGAATCCCAATCAATTTGGGATTGTGTTTTGTTATAAATAGAGACACGTTTTTTAGGGTTTCTTTGGCTTTGTTTAGGTTTTGATTAGGCTTTGATTAAGCATTGATTAAGGGATATTTGGAGCACAAAAAGAGGTATTTTTTTGAGCTTTTGGTTAGGATTTTGTTTGGAGAGATTAAGAGTTTTGTTGGTAAGATTAGTTTATTCCTTCGAATAATTTGTAATCTCAATTTGTACTCTTCTTCTCTATTAGTGAACACCTCATCTCCTTCTTGCCCCGTGGACGTAGGCAACTTGCCGAACCACGTTAAAATTAGTGTTTTGTTTGTGCATTGATATTTAGTTCGTTTGGTTCTCTTGGATTGACGTTTGGTTTGGTTTCTCGACATAGCTTTTGGCACAACAATTTGGTATCAGAGCTCGGGCTACGCTTGGGCTATTTGGAGGAGTAGTACGATTTGGGAAGCTCGTCTAGGGTTTTAGTTGGTGAGAAAGGTGGAATCTTTTCGATAAAGCTTCTTTCTTTTCTCATTTTGGATCTATTCTTCGTTTGTTTCCGCATTGGTTATTAGTGTGTTGAGGATTATGGCCGAGAAAGAGGGAGTTGAGGGAAGTTCTTCAAGTGTGAAGACTGTCCAAAGTTTGAGTATCCACTCGATGAAGATTGACGTGGAGAAGTTCAATGGCACTAATAATTTTGGACTTTGGCGATGCGAAGTCTTAGATGCGCTTAATGCGCAGAATTTAAAAGATACATTGGAGTTGGATGGGAAACCGGACGACATTGATGAGAATGTTTGGAAAAAGATGAATCGGACAGCGTGTGGTGTGATTAGGTCTTGTCTCACTCAAGATCTAAAATATGATGTGATGAATGAGACTTCTGTGAAGAAGATTTGGGAGGTCCTAGAGAGAAAGTACTTGACGAAGAGCGTTGAAAACCACTTGCATTTAAAGAGGAGGCTTTATCGCTTCCAATTGAAGAAGGGGACATCCATTAGTGATCACATGAACCACTACACGAAGCTTCTTATGGATTTGGCGAATGTAGATGTCATTGTTGAAGATGAGGACAAGGCGTTGCTATTGTTGAGTTCCTTGCCCGACGAGGAATATGTGACGTTTGTCCTTACTCTTATTAATGGGAAGACATCTCTTTCATATAGTGAGGTCACTGCTGCATTAGTGAATTACCAACTCAGGAAGAAGGACAATGAGACTTCTATTGAGCCGGTAGCGGGGGCATTGGTTGCAAGAGCAAAGGGTCCAAACCGAGGTAGAAGGTCACATTCTAGAGGAGCACATCTTAAAATTCGTAAGAATCAGTGTGCTTTTTGTAACGAAGATGGACATTGGAAAGCTGAATGCCCAAAGTTGAATGATCAAGCTGGGAATAATAAGGGGAAAGCTATTCAGGCTTCAGAGGTGAATGTTATCAAGGCTAGTGGCAACGATTCAGATTCGGATTCTTCGGGCTACTCATTATCTGCACTATCATCAGTTTGTGTTGCCTACTCTACAGAGTAGATGTTGGATTCGGGTGCTACATACCATATTTGCCTTAGGAGGGATTGGTTCTCCAGCTTTCAGGAGTTGGTAATAGGGGATTTTGTGCTCATGGGGAATGATCACAAATGCTCTATTGGTGGTATCGGTACCGTTCGGATCAGGATGAGTGACGGGGTGATTCGGGAGTTGGTTGGAGTGAGGTTCGTTCCTCAGTGGAAGAAGAACATCATTTCACTTGGAGTTTTGGAGGCAGCAGGCTGTAGGGTGACCTTGGCGGATGCACGTTTGAAGGTTATATTTGGGTCCATGATTGTGATGAAGGATGTCAGAAAGAGTAACTTATACTATTTGCTTGGGAGTACGGTGATTGATAGAGCTCTGACGACTTCATTGGATTTGGCTAGATTGTGGCGTTGTTTGGTGCTAGGGTATTTGATTGGTGATGCCGTGCATAGGTTGTTGAGGAGTGCTTTGACCTACAGATGGAAGTCCTTTGAGCATATTAGGATGAGCAAGACCGAGGTGGAGTTTGGCACTCCTATCCATCGAGCAAGGGGTCTTTTAGGAGGTGTTCAGTTAGACATTTGGGGGCCTTCCAAGGAGGCATCATTGGGAGGTAATCGTTTTGTAGTTTCCACAGTTGGTGATTGTTCTAGGCATTATTAGGTTACGACCAGTTCCCGTTTGTGTAAAGTCCTAGAAGTCAACAACAATTGGAAGAAGTGTATTGGCAGAAAGGTAATTCATTATTCTAGCTTTGGTAGGGGTCCTTTCTTGCGTTTGTGCCGAGCTCACGGTAATAGGAGACACTTCATTGGTATGGAGACTTTGGGGCGACAAGATGAGATGCCAGTTTCGATGGGCCGTTCCTTTCTGGAGGATGATCAACATTGGTTGTCGAGCATTGGTTCTGGAGTTTTGACATATTTGGATCATCTTAATCATAGGTCGCCGACTGCTGTATTAGGAGTTATTGGATCTGGTGGAGCTGCTTCAGATTTTGATCGGCGTCGGATATTTGGTTACCCAGCATTTGGTCACATCGAGGATGTGAGATTTGATCCGATTACGCGTTTGGAATTCGGAGGCTCATTTAATTATCGTTTGGGAGCTTCTGATTTTGTTTTGAGCAGGAATATCACTTTTGACTCTCGGCAGGTGAAGAGTGTTGATCAGGTCGTTTGGATATCGCAGCAGGTAGAGGGTGATGCTACTTCACGTTGGGTGGAACTTATTCCACATACTCCAGATCATACTGCGTCATTTGGGATTCTAGCTGAGGTGACACAGGTTGAGGATCATTTGATTTCGGATGCAGATGATGGATTGGTTTTGGATTCGATTGCAGCTGGTGGACATGATTTGGATATGGCCATTGGTTCACCTCAGATGTAGGTGTTTGATTTATATCAGTTTGGGGCTGCTATCAGTTGCAGATCCGTTGGCGATATTGGGGAAGAGTTACAGACTTTTCTATTTGTTTGAGGGCCTTTGGAGACCGTTTGGGTGAATTAAGTGAAGGCTTGACTCCTTGGGCAAGAGGATACGTAGGCAGTCAGTTTTGATGCAACCGATTTGGTGAGTAGATACCGACATTTGGGTGAGTGTTCGCACTCCCGTTTGGGTCTCGACTTGTATGGATAAAGTCTGTTGTCATGAGTCCGTTACCGTGACATACTGGATGCAACAAGTGAGATATTTGTTTGGTTGGTGTCGGCTCAGTTTTGGGAAAACTTCGCCGATGTGAAGAATTGTGAAAACGGCGAAGGAATTGAGGAAGGAATTGAGAAAAACGTGAAGAATAAGCAAAACAGGCTCCACCACACCCTGGTGTGGTGTCTGCCATGGGTGTGACAGAATCTGCCCTGTCTGCCATAGGTGTGGTGTCTGCCACACCATGTGTGGCAGAATCTGCTCTGTTTGCCATGGGTGTGGTGTGTGCCATATTAGGGTGTGACAGACTCGTTTTTAGAATCCCAATGAGTTTGGGATTGTGTTTTGTTATAAATAGAGACACGTTTTTTAGGGTTTCTTTGGCTTTGTTTAGGCTTTAATTGGGCTTTGATTAAGCATTGATTGGGAGATATTTGGAGCACAAAAAGATGTATTTTTTTGAGCTTTTGGTTAGGGTTTTGTTTGGAGAGATTAGTTTGTTCCTTCGAGTGATTTGTAATCTCAATTTGTACTCTTCTTCTCTATTAGTGAAAACCCCATCTCCTTCTTGCCCCGTGGACGTAGGCAACTTGCCGAACCACGTTAAAATTAGTGTTTTGTTTGTGCATTGATATTTAGTTCGTTTGGCTCTCTTGGATTGTCGTTTGGTTTGGTTCCTCGATACAGCTTTTGGCACAACAATTATTAGTGTCAATTGATATTTTTATTGAGGGAACTATAGGAAGAAAAGTTTTAACATCAAATACAGAACACAATTAGAATTAAGAAATTTGTAAAGGAAAAAATGGGTATGCAAAAGTTTTGATATTTGTTTTCTCTTTTAGAAGTAGTATAGATAGAAGAAGATCTAAATTAATTTTTATACCTGTTACACACCATTTTATCACGAATATAGTAAAGATTTCATTAATACAAGGTCAGCATCACAGGGAGCAGACTAATTAATACAATAAACTCCACCGTAACACAATACACAACTCATTATTCATTCACATTATGCTTTCCAGGACCTGTCGTTCAACTTCACTGTCCCCGTACTGTAAACCCTAATGCTGTTTCCGATGGATGACAGCCGAATTCTCCGAGGGATCGTGCGAAGGCCTCGACGGTGGCATCGAGATTTCCTCGGAACTCCGAGAATTCTGACAACGCAGGAGTCCTCAATACGAGGGATGGCGTGGAGGTGGGAAGGGAGGTCGATCATGAACTCTCCGTAGTCGTCGGTTGTTGCGTAGGCCCAGTTAGCCCTCTTGTTGTTTCTCTTGCCTTCTGTTTTGCATGATACCGCCATTTTGGCACCTGAACACAGTCGGGATCATGTATAACTTGTGTTAGGTTTAATTTTTGTGCTTTCTTTCCATTTTATTTTTTGAATATTTTTTTCATGCATATATAGGAAGAAGGATTTGATACTTTTTTTACACAAATCTAATTGGAAAGGCTATAGCTCAATATGTCACTCTTCTTCATTAAGTAACAATTTTAGAATTATACTAGGATACGTCAGATTTTCCTTTCTTTCTGTATGATTTTTAAAGGAAACTGCCCTATAAGATAATTTGGTGAATTTGCATATGAAAATCTACAAATTTACAATGAGTAGCAAACCCTATATATTAAGCACAAAAGAAATATATATATCCATAAATATAAACTTTTCGGAATTGAGGGGAAAGAAATATTCACTTAGTGGGTGTATCTGCAAAAAGACAAAACTAGAAAGAGAATTAAAAATCAAAACAATGACACTACAGGGATCTATCCGCAATTAACCCAAATCTAGAATAAAATAGGTGGCCTAACAAAATCTTCTCTTTCTTAGAGAAGCTTGGACCTCAGCCTTAGACGCTTAGAAAATTCCTTGGTCAATGTTAGGTTATCAAGTAAAAAACAGCTCAAGGCCGGGTCATAACGTATGAAGCAGACCCAATGCAGAAGCAAACTAAAAACAAAACTCTATCTGAAGGCATATCGTTCATCAACAATTAATTAATATATAGTTTGACTCATAATAAGCTTCATTAATTGATTAGTATATAATTAGAATTTGCTCATTCATCACCTTGTCATGCAAACTGTCGCATGAACAATTAGTTGCAACACTCTTACCTAAACATCCCTAGTTGTTAGGTTACAAACAAACTCTTAACTCCACCCAAAGGTAATGAACAATTAATTAGTATATCCCAAATAGAAGTTTATTTTAGTAATTAATTTGATAATCTCTTTGTAGCGAAGCAATCATATCTTCATTTGTAGATAAATATGTCAATATATGTACTATATTTCACTTGAAGTCATCCTCACCTAAACTTTCATGAGAGAACCAAGATACCACCCAAAGCTTTATTGATAAGTCGAGTATGTTGGTATGTCACAGTTTGATCCAACATCGATGTAAACCTTTGCTTCATTTAAGTTCCACCCCAACAACTATAGAAAAGACTTTCTCTAATAAAACAACTTAGAAAAGGAGTACTAACCATTTAATCGATAAATCCACTTGTCAAATGATACATTAAATATTGAAACTACTTCAAGGTAAACTTGGTGTTAACTCGTGATTTTACATATAAACCTCCTATAGATATGGATAGGTACCTATGCAAATTTTATTTCTATATATAAATGTGTAAGATAATACTTGCACCTCTAAAATCTGTTCTTGGTTCAAAATTAGCGTAATTTGTTATCTAAAGCCCCAGAAAAGTTCTTTTGTGGCCTTTTCCCTAAATCCTTTTGTCCTTAATTCTAAACATTCTTGGTAAAAAGGTGGTAACGTTGATCCCTAGCTATTTTATTAATTAAGGAACAAGTAATCAAATGTAACCCTAGAAAGTTCAGAGTAGGGATAGAGTTTTGGAGCCTTAATAACAACTTCTCATTTTTCTTAAATCAAAATTTGTTTCTTTTTGATGTCACCCTGACCCCGTCCTTAATTCTCAACAAAATATACAAAAAAAGTATTAGGTTTCGGAAGCTACACTATAATACATAAATTCCAATTCAAGAATACATTAGCACTTTTAAGTTCATAACTAAAACCCCTGCACCAAAACTTTCCAAATTAATTAAACTCTATCCTTTCCCAATCTTATTAAAAGAAAAAAAATCTAGATTGACTACACGCATGCGTGAGAGGAAAAATTTGAAATTCGGGTGAGCAGCAAAGAGCTAGTAAGATGATTGGAAAGACTACATTAATCTTAAACCCTACGGTATATCTTCTTGCAACTAATTTTCAAGAGCAATTAAATATTTCTTAGTAATCATTATAAAAGATAAATTTAACCTTTAATATATAGATTTTATTATTACGTTATCATTTATATATAATTAATACATTAAATGCACTAACAAATAATCTTTTCAATACAATATTTAACATAAGCGCATGTGTATTTATATAATATAAATACCCACCTAGCTAGTAAAATCAAATTCACTATATGTTTTTCTTTAGTGTTCAACAATTATAAAATCCTACTTAAAACTTTTTACTCTACTTCAACAATAACAAATTTATTCTAATTAGTATGGTACAATTTGAAAATATATAATTTATACCTGCTATATGAGACGTATGGAGCTCGGATCCTGATTTGGGGCAGGCCTCACAGACGAGCGTGCCCATCACCAGCACCGAGGATAGCTTCTCCTCTCCATAGCCAGCAAATTGCACGAGCTCATCACGTGTCAGGTGCTGAATGGGCATCTCCCCTCTCGTCGCCGAAAGGAAGAAGAACACGATGGCGGCAATGACGAAGGAGGTGCTCTGAGATTCATACATGCTGGTTGATGTATGTTGATATGCACACTGTAGTTTGGTTCTTTATCGAAGATCTTGGAATAAGGTACGGGGAAGACAAAGAGGAAGGTTAGGCTTCACATATATAGGCAAGTTAGGCAAGAAAATGCCCTTGTAGGTTTGATAATTTACGAGAATGGGACTTAATTAGAAAATAAGTTAAGTCAAATGGTTGTTGAAGGAAATAACGAAAAGGCCCTTTTGTTCTGTGAATTTGGATGGCGCGTGATTAGTTTAACAAACTGAGGAAAAAAAAAAAGGTCTTGGAGTCTAAAAGAGGAAGTTTGATAAACTAATGTAATTTTCCATGAACTAAATATATTGTAGTCATGTGATATGCCTCCTTTATATATAATGAGAAATCTCTCATTTGTATAGAATGGGAAATTATGATATTCATAAAAAACTGACATGTATCATTCTTAAAAGCATCGAAAATTGACATGTCTTATATGGCATAAATAGTTGCATGTCTCTCTATCCTACTAGAAGATGACATGAAAAGATTAAGAGTAGAAAAATTATAAGCAGTGCTCTCTGAAGGTGCATTTTAATGGGTGATCTACTCATTGCTAACATGCGACCCTGGTAATGAGGGGCAAGATAAAAAAAAGAAGATCTCCAACAAGAAAGTTGTTCATCTTTTGAATCGATCTGATCTACAAGCTACTTGTCTTTCCCCTGATCAAATTAGGGTTACTTTGAATAGTGAATGTGTTGGTCCTAGTTCTGGATCTAGAATGTGCTGGTCCTAATTCTAGATCTATTAGTAGTACCGGACCAGTGGGTTTAGAAGTAAGCATGACAATGGAGGAAGTTCTTAGTATGACTCTAGTTAGGGATTCACATTTCTTGAGAGAACATCTTAGATTGATGTGGGTTGATGCTTCTAGGAGTTCTGCACCAGCTCCATTGGATCTAGTAAGGCTTATTCTTCTAGATCCATATCTTGGGCTAATAATCTGGAAGATGATTCGGATTTTGAACTCTGAATTCTGATCCTGTTGATGTTAATGGTGAATCTGTAAATGACAAGGATGTTAGAGTTGATAAGGATCCCATTATTTCTACCAAAACTTTATCTTCTGCTAAAACTTTTGCAAGTTTATTCTCCGATAATATAAAATATAACATTGGTTTTCATCTAGATTATGTTCCTCCTCCTGAGGATTCTCATGTTGCTGCTACTTTCTCATCAGAGGCATGTTATTAATTTTCTTCTCTTTGGAAAAGTTGTCCCATTGGATATGTCTATGGCTTGAATGCTAAATTTAAGGCTATAGAATCTTATGTTACAAATATATAGGAGAAAATTGCTATTCGTAAAATCTATCTACTAAAATTTGGCCTCTTTTTATTTTAATTCCATTATGAGGAGAGTATGAGGGATTTTCCTGGAGGGGCGGGATAGTTTATCGACGTTATGCAAATAAATTCTTTCAATGTGGAAATTGAAAAGTCTCAAGATGTTTTATATCCCATGTGCATTCAATTCCTGAGCTTAGGCTCAATCTTTAGAGCTCTTTTGGTATTAGTAAGGTGGCTAGCAATATTAGGAATCCTGTAACAACATATTCTCATAGATGGTAGGAAAAAGCTTGCATATGTTAGAGTTTTGGTGGAAAAAAATTACCATTTGAACTTCCTAATGTTATTATTATACAAGGGCCTAATGGAAAATGGTATAAGAAAAAGATCATATATAAGTTCAAGCCTATGTGTGATAGCCATTGCAAAGTTCACTAGTAGAAAAACGACCAATCTAGACGGAACAACCTAGACGAAAAAAATTTCCGTCTAGGTTGAGTCAAACTAGACGGAAATTTTTCGTCTAGGTTGATCCGTCTAGTTTGGGTCAAACTAGACAGAAAATTCTGTCTAGTTTGACAAATAAGACGGAAAAGTCAACCTAGACGGAATTCTGCTCTAGAGTTGCTAGGTCAACATCAAGCCGCCCGGACCTCCTTTTCTCAATTCTCCTCCTTCCCCTCCCCCCTCTATCTCTTTCTTACTCTCCCCCAAACCCCCTCCCGACCCCCCTCCCGACCGCCACCTCTCACGGGCGCTCCAGCCCAGACCCTACCCCCTTACCCTCTCTCGACCCCTACTGACACCTCCCTTCCCTCCCTCGGCAGCCAGACACCCCTCCCTCTGACCACCACACCGTAGCAGCCCCTATTCCCTTCCTCCCCCCTCGGTAGCCCCTCCCCCCCCTATTCCCCCCCCTCCCCTTATCGACCAGCCCTCGAGCCCCCCTTCCTCCCTCCCCCTTTCCCCCTCCCCCTCCCCATCGGAGCCCACCCCCCCTTTTCGACTACCCCTCCCCTTCCCACCCTCCTTCCCTCCCCCTTCGCCACCCCCTCGTTGGAGCCCCCCTTTCCCTCCCCTCCCCTTCCCCCTTCCCCTCCCTCCTGGCAACCCTCTCCCCCTTCCCCTGTTCCACCTCGGTAGCGCCCCCTCCCCCTTACCCCCTCCCTCCTCCCGACCAGCCCCAAGCTCCCTTCCTAGGAACCCCTCGACCGCAGACCCTGTTGAGCCGCCCCTTCCCTCCTCTCCCCCTCCCCCCTCCCTCGGCAGCCCCTTCCCCATCGGCGTGTCCGTTGTTTCATCTGCCTAAAAAGTATGTTTTTTCTACTGAGCTTTAGAATTTTTAATTTTTTTATTATTTATTGTTGAATTTAGTTTAAAAACCCTAATTTATGATAAAAAAATAAACATGTTCAATTCTGAAAACCCTAACTCAACTACATGTTAATTCATTTGAACAACACCAGTAATCATATTTTTTTAAGCACTTATAAACCCTAACTCATTTAAGTTTCATTCGTGCTATAAGTAGGTGTGATTATTTAAGTTTGTGATGTGAAAATATGTGAAATAAAATTATTTAAAAAATAGAGTGATATATAACACATTATTAATTTTTATAATGTGTTATAATCTAATTTAGGTGAATAAAAAAATAACGTTATCCCTAGACTTCCGTCCAATAATTGTTGGCCTTCTTGTTTTGATCGGTCGACCGATCGTTTCTTTCGGTCAACCGCGAATTTCTTCGGTCGACCGTCGCTCGTTCTGACTGCTTCCAACGGCTATTTTTGTTACCGTTGCTGGGGTGTTTTTGGTCTTTTGTTTTTGTTTTTTGACTGAGTTTTTATGTGGGTATAAATACCCCTTTACTGTTTTCTTTCAAAAAACCAAGAGAATTGTTTAAACAAGTTTAAGGGTGTTTTGTGTTTGTTTAAAAGAGTGTTTAAGATTTTGGTTTGTGAAGATAATTTCACAAGGGCTTGAGGAGATAATCTTTGGTGTTTGAGCTTCAAATCATCTCTCTCTCACTCTTGTCATTTATTGGAGAAGTTTTCTAAACTCAATCTAGCTTTACATTTTATTGTTTGATTATCATTTTATTAAGCTAGTGTTTATATTGAGTTTAGTTGATTTTATTTATCTCTTTGTACACACACAACCTTTGAGCTTATTGTATTTACATTCATAGTATAATTGGGTTGTGGGATTGTGTAACTTAGAGAGTGAGCTTATAATTCGTTCTCATTCATTGTAGAGATGAGCCTAATTGTGAGGATTCACTTGTAATACACTTGTACACCGAGAGAAGTGTGTGGTGAGAGACGGGGTTGAATCCAAAAGGAGTGACGTCGGTTGACGTACCTAGGGAGAGGTTGTAACCGAGTACTTGAGGAGGAGGACACGGGCTAGGACCAACACTTAGTGTGTGAGGTGTGATTGCATAGTGATTGTATTGTGAGGTGTAAACGTTGTTCGGGTGAACGTAGAAAACCCGGTTGTGATAGTGGAGATCTCCTCGAGGTGAGGAGCGGAGACGTAGGTCGTGGGGACCGAACTCCGTAATCATATTGTTTGTTTGTGATTGCATTGGCGCACTTACTTTTATGTTCATATCTTATATCGCCTTTGTATATTGCTTGTTGATTATATTGCCCACTATCTAGTTTAGATTGTTCCTTGCACATACATTGCCTATATATTTCATCATATAGGATATATCTCATTGTTTACATTGCTTATCCTAGCTTACAAATATTGTTGTACTTCATACTTGCTAGGATAACGTATTAATTAGTTTTTAATTGGCATTTAAATCGGATTAGATTAGCATAAGACTCTAATCACCCCCCTCTAGGGTCTAACAATTGGTATCAGAGCTTGGTGCTCTTTGATTTAAGGTCTAAACGCCTTGAGTTAAAGATCCAAGTTATCTTTTTATGCTAATCTTGCTTTGATTGCATTTGTATCTTGCTTGCATATTTTTTACAAATTATGGATATGAATGATGCATCTTGTTTAGGCTATGATTCTAGTATTGCTCCTAAATTTAATGTTTTCCCCTATGCTCAATGGTGCTTTAGATTCAAAATATTTGTTCAATCTAAAAATATCGATTTATGGGAAATCATTGATTATGCTTATATTGTGCCCACGTTGGAGAAATCCAAGTGGAACAAACATGATAAAAAGATGTTTATTATGAACAAGCTTATGTTAGAATTTTTATTAAATGCATTTGATTCATTTATGTCTAACAAGCTTGATTCTTTTGATAGTGCTTACACCTTATGGAAATTTATTGAAGCACATCAATGGGATTTGGAGGCGATCCAACAAGCTTTGACGGATCCGGCTTCAAGTTCATGTGGAGCTTCATCATGCACACGGCCACTAGGCGATAGCCCTAGTGAGGTTTGCGAGTTCGAATCCATTAATGATTTATCTAGTGATGAACTTGCTTGTGCTAGTGAAAAATTATTGCATGCCTATGACAAATTGTATAAAGATTTTATTGATTTAAAAAGCAAGCATGATAATTTAGAATCCAATCATGAGGAACTAGTGTCAAAATTGGATGTCATTGCAAAAGAAAATACCATGCTTAAAGAAAACAATGACATGTTAATTTTGGAAAATGAAAAATTAACCTCATCTATAACTAGCTTATCTCATGAAAAAGTTAATGCCATGTTAGAAGTAGAGAACATAAAAAATGATACCGCTTCTTTTA